TGCTGTTCAATCTAAGGGGTACTCAACCATGGCTCACTGAACACTCTCTCTCCCTTCTAGATACCAGCGTCATTGCTTCCTGCAGTCCCTGTGCCTACCACCGACCCTCCCACCGTCGCCGCCGCCGCCGTCTTCAGTCGACGGTGTTCGTACTGCCGCGTGTACATAGCTTTCGTTGGAATTATCCTTCCCTCCCCCCTTCCCACCCACAATTAATTGCACTATTATAAGCATGCATCTCCCTCGTCCCCATTTTTGAAATTTGGAGAGAATTATTCCTTGTTCTCATGTTTATTCCGTTTCACACAAAAGACGCTGTTTCGCTGACGTGCACATTCCCTCTTTTTCGCCTGCGCTAACCCGCAGTGTTATATTACATTTGTTCCGCCCCCTTACCACAGCCGTAATTCACTTTCTTGTTATTGGAATGATTATCCTTGGTCCCGACTTTTGTCATTTTCCTTGTTCTCATGTCCATTCCATTTTACATAATAAACCCTGTTCTTCTAACCTGCACTCGCTCTCTCTACCTCTCATCTAGATTATTTGGGCAAGATCTGATGTTGGTGCTGGGTCTGGTCATAGTCTGAAGGCAGGAAGTTGATATCAACAGGTGTATTTACATAGGGGGAATTTTGCTTAGCGAGGCTTACGTGACACAGATAGAGACGAGTGTGCGAGTCGATGGTTAGTGCTGTCACGACGACTGACTACAGTAGCCTCTCAAATAAATAACTGCTTCCAGTAGTTCGATTCTGGCAAGGATGACTCCAGTGGTTTACATTCACCGCAGTCTGTTATTATTACTATCATCATTGCAGCGTCGATTTGCCTATAAATCTCAAATTTGGAAATCCTCTGTTGATTGGAAGCGACTACTTCAGGTGATGTGATTGAAGATCACGGCCACCAGTAGTTCAGCCACGTATTCCACTGTGAGCAACAGGAATAACCACATGCGGAGAAAGGAAATATTATAGAAGTGTATCCGAAGATATCCTGACGGGGATGGTGGATGTGGTACTTGTACATGCACTCGATACGACTGCAACCATGCCTGATCTAGCTGGCCTCGATGATGTCCCGTACTGTACCTCTTCACGCGTGATGATACATAGTAGCAGGTCTGGACAGTTTAACGAGTTCTCTTCCCCACGGACGGAGAGCGAATAAATAAGGTCCAAGTACCACCTCCATGTCTTGACGGATTATGTCGAATTAGATTTTTGAGTTGAACCCCTGTTTGACGCCTACAATGAGGCAATGGTGCCAGGCCTCACACGATTAAAGTGGCTGATTTTGTCAATGGGTGAGTATTTTTTCGTCCAAACCTGTTTGGTTAGTTGATGAAAACATTTTTAGACAGACGTGAGCACATCAACTGGAGAAAAAATGGAACAATGCAAAATGCATTCTCTTGCAGAAATTTTCCATTGCTTCAAAGGATCGTTAAATTTCCTTCAGGATGGAGTCCTTAAAGTTCCTGGTTCTTGCAGCTTTTGCACCGGATATGCTTCAGCAATATTCAGTAAGAATATTTTCCAAGCTTGTTTTAAGCTAAGACTGTCTAAGCCAAACCATTGACTATGTTTGATCTCGTCTACGTGGACCCATGTTCCACAACACAACACTGGCCCTCCTTCGTAGAGCTACCGTTTCCGTCTGTTTCAATGGGCCTTAATCACACTAGTGCTTTTTCCTGTGGTTGAACCCATTCTCACTGCTCTCAACACATTATCCGCTGAACGTGAATATTGGTGTGCCTTTGAATTTAACCTGGATTAAACGGCAATGTAGATTTTTGAATTCTGCATTCGGCAGTAAATAATATGCTTGTTCCACATGCATCGTTCTATCAGACTGCTTTCGCGAAACAATGTTTAACAATCTCGCACACTTCCCATCTGCTTATTTTGAATTTTTGACGTTCTTTCTCCAATTCTGGCGAGGTCTTCAGACTTGAAATTTAAAAAAATTAGATCTCCGACAAACATAGCTAATCTTCTGTGTTTTAATCTGAGTTAGACTTTGTCATCGGAGAGAATGGCAGTCGGCGTGTGCTCTTCGAAACGGCTGAAGGCAGTTCGGTGCTTCGTTTAGTGATCAACCTAATGGGCACCTTATGTCAATTTTGGTCCAGTGTCCTCTTGTTTCTAATTGAAGTAAGATCATTAACCGTTGCGATATTTTCATCCCATGATGAATTCAAGCATGAGTCAGAAACACCCGATGAATGAGCCTAGCATATTTCTTCACCGTTTATTCTTTCGGGTTAAGTGCAAAAGTTGTTTTTTCAATTACAAAAATTTGCTGGAGCATGCAGAAACTAACATGTTTGTGTAGGCGGATCCCGAACCAAATCTCCGCATTCTACGCCCCACCCTTTTCTTGGCGGCTCTGCAATCATGGAGGGATCACACAAATTGTTTTTTTCTGAAGCTCGACGGCCCTACTAAGGGGACAATTGACGATAGACAGTGACGTCAAAATTTTTGCTTAAAGCGAAAACAATTCGCTATACACGAAATGAACCTAAAAACGACATTTATTTGATGGCATTTTTGGTTGTCTGGTATCCGCAGGGCGTCGTTTACCCAATTAGTTTGCGTATATCGGGTAAAAGGTCAAGGTTCGTTTTTCATCATCTCAGGGCGAAAATACGCATTTTAAGAAGTCGACATATTATCGTGCCATTAATTATTTTACAATTTGTAACACGTGGGGATTGTCCGCAGAATTGATTCGTGCGATAGGCAAGATCAAATTCCTCTCCTAATTCGCAAAGACGGTCCCTTAGGCTTCTGTTGTAACTATTTTCCCTACCAAAGTTTCGGACAGTGCCTGTAAAGGCCTGTTTCGAAAGAGTTACTCCAAGTTTGCGCATAAATTTCCTTGGAAATTAAGCAAGGCAAGTTAAAACTGGAGTTCATATACCAGAAAACACACAGTGAAAGCTGGAGGAACCACTGACGAGCCAACGCCTCGCAGCTGTGTCATGCAGAGGCACAATATCGGCGAAACACGCATGCCTGGGCTGTTAGCTAATACCTGTGTTTTTCGTACGGTAGATAATTGGACAATTCTATACTACTGGCTGCCTGTTGGCTGTTTGTGAATATTAAGCGGTTATTCCGCAGTAGCTGATGGATTTCAGCTCAAATATTCATATCAAATTTCGGACCGTGCTTGAAAAGGCCTGTTTCGAAAGAGTTACTCCAAGTTCGCGCATTAATTTCCTCGGAAATTATGCAAGGCATGAGAAAATCTCTTTTTTCCTCCTTCCGAATTTAAAGCCTAATGAGTTGAATCAAAATCTGACGAAAGTATGCTTGCCGAAATTTTCGAGTTTGTTGCCCAAAGTGTAAATTTTAGCAACAAGCTGATTTCCTTTTTATCCTTTTTCCCACTTATTTATTGTCCATTAAATGCAAAAAGGAAATCATGCTAAAACAGTGGCGGCGGAAAGCATTTTTTGCAGTTATTTTGCCCTTGGTTGATTTACGAAACAATCAATTTTTCGGGGATGTACGTAATCGCAGTAGAACTTATGATAAACATCTGCAGTGGGTTTTATCTGTCAAGGTGTACTGCATCTTTGCAGTCGGAGGATATAGAAGTTAAGTGCGAAACTCGGCAAGACTCGTCCACAATATCAGTTGTCTTGTGGTCACTCCTGTAATTTCGAAGCAATAATTTAATTTTCCGCTAAAATATAGCCGGTCGTATGCAAACAGTTTAGAACATTATTGCAGCACTGAGTATAGTTAAAAGCAAACCTGTACATTTCGACGCTTTTTGAGATCTACTCAGAAGGAATTCTTAATAAGTAGCCACAACAAGAAGCGCTGATGTTTTACTACGTATGGTTGTGCACATATGAAGATTAGTGGATCAAACATTTAAGAAGATACTGACAGACCCGTTCGTTTTCCAGAAACGACAATCTATCTTTTAAATGTGGGACTTAAAAGAGTATCCTTGTTTTGAGAGTTCTTTTATAACTTCATATTTTTAAAGCATTTTACAAGAAAAAGTTACTCTTTATTGAGATCGTACGACAATATAACGCCATCGTTTTCTTAAGTGTAAGCTGTACGCTTGTAATATAGGCAAAATGAACACTTATCAGAATGACAACTTTTATTTTGTTCGAGTGTTCACTTAGAAGCTGATAACAATACATTGAGAAAACGAATAAATACCTGCAAAATATAACTGGAAAACATTTAAGTCTAAATCACAGTTCTTAAAATATTCATAAAGTGTCAAGACTTAAGAAAACTTGGCCGTTTTTTGTTGAAAACAAATCCTTTGTGCAGATCTAAATAGAAAACACGCCAAAGCCCTAAACACAGAGACCTTTGTGTAGATTGCAAAGGCTGTTTAAAAGAAAAACAAGTTATTACGAAAAAATGGCTTTATTTTTAAAAATATTTCCCTCATGAGAATGTTCGTGTGGTGGCAAGATAATTCTATAAACCACTATCCCTATAATTGCTACTCATGTTCTTTCTTTCTTGCACGTGGTTGAATTGCTTTGAATGAGATATTTTAGGCCATCCTGGACATCTACTTTAAAAAATGTTTGTTTATACGAATATGCTCCAGTGGAAATATGAAGTCATGAAAATTATTTGCAGATGATTACTTAAGTGTGTGTAGCCATGAGGACTATTATTGACGCGCAGTGTCAAACATTGGGGATAACCTTCCGATACCCTAGCAATGCATAATAATTATTACATTGAGGGGGTCACTAAAAGAGTGTCAATTGGTCGGATACGCTGTGAAGTTGCTGGGTCTATTCAAACCTAAGTTTGGAAGTTGCATACCTACGGCTTCGCAGCCCAACATAAAATTATACAGAACAATGGGTCCCAAATATCATAATTAAATTCTCGCCCTCCTAGGATTGTCTTAAGTCACTTTGCTTCGCCTGTGAGAATATCAGGCACTTCAAATGTCGTGAATCGATTTTGTGCCAGACTACATGTCGATCGATGTTGGGGCGTTTGAATGTGGCCAAACAGCTTGCACGTCAGAACTCACTGACTGGCGATGGTGAACGCAACCTCGACTGCCTTGTTGAAATGCTCAAATCGGGCGACGCGGAAAGTGCGACAGATATTCGGACGGATGGCCAGATTGGGCAAGAAGCGCTCGTCTGGGCTGTCCTCCAGTGGTAAGTGCTGCACACTTTCATCGTTGTAGCACTAGTAAATGCACGTTGGTCTGGAATTGTATTTTGGTTAACATAATGTCTTGTGTTAGATTGTTCCCAGGCTCCCGTCTCTCCGTTCTAGCACTATAGTAAAATCAAGGCTGGATGGAAAATGGTCCAGTAGTGTCTACTTGTTTGTTTAACTTAAAATCATACTACGTGTCCCAGACAATGTCGACGCTGTCGTATTCCAGCATCATTTCTTCCTACTCGAATAGTCACATGATCACGGGTATATACACCAGGTTGCCTGTTGCGACTGCGTTGATTCCACAGAGTCGTTAGGACGACATGCATTTATATCTATTGAAAAACAGGCATCCCAAGAAATATAATTAGAAAGATGAAGTTCTTTGATAAACAGCAAAATTTTATTGTGAATTTTCGAGACTGGTTCCCCAGCTCGTCTTCAGACAATGGGTGTGCAAAAACAATTAACTTTTAGCCTGAGTCTAGCAAAAGGAGTCAATGATTGGTTAAGATTGTCATCTCGGGATTGGCTGACTCAGTTTGAATCTGTCCTTAACGATTTTGTATATGGCATCTAAATCGATATGCCGGTTGATGCATGCCTCATCTGAGTGCATTGCTTCCAGGAATTCGCGGCCTTTTCTTGATTGGCAGGCGCCAACAATGCGAGTGTTCTCCCATGCGAATTTATGCCCAGTGTCTAGTGTGTGCATGGCCACCTGGGATAAATGGTCGCGTCTCTTCACCGCTAACTGATGCTCATGTAAACGGGTTGAGACAGATTTCCCAGTTTGGCCACAATAAACGGCATCACAACTAGAACACGGGATTTTGTAGACGACACCTTTTCTTTCAAGGTAGCCGACCCTGTCCTTAGGGTGCACAAGCTGTGTGCGTAAGGTAGTTGCCGGTTGGTGTGCTACGTGTATCTGGTACTTTTTTAATTGTCTTTCGACAAGTTCAGATACATTTTTGACGTATGGGAGAGTTCGCCATGTGGTTTGTTTTGCTGCCTGAGTGGCCGTAGCATTGGAAATACCTTTTCCCTTGAGTTGCTGGTACCTCATACATTGACGTATAAAGTCATGCGAGTACCCATTTTGGGAGAACAGTTTGTAGAGGTATTTCATTTCTGCTCGATAGCTTGTTTCGTCAGAGCAGTGGGTTTTGGCTCTATTCAGAAGGCTGTAGACTGTACTCCGTTTGTGAGAGACAGGGTGGTTACTCTCAAAGTGTAGGATGACCTCTGAATACGCCTCTTTGCGATAAACTGATGTCTGGAGTGATCCATCGGTTTTTCGACGTACAAGGACATCCAGGAATGGGAGTTGTCCATCGACCTCTGTTTCCAAAGTAAATGTAATTCCTGGAAATATGGAGTTAATATTGGTATGGAGTAGATTCAACTGATCTTTCTTGACGATGACAAAAGTGTCATCTACGTATCGCAGCCAAAGTTTTGGATTGACTGTGGGAAGGGCTATGCTCTCTAATTTCTGCAGTAATGCTTCTGCCAGGAAACCGGATATTGGTGAACCCATGGGGGCACCTTTTAATTGCCGGTAGCATTGATTTGAGAAGGAAAAATTGTCTCCATACAGAGATCAAGGAGTTGAAGTAAAGCTTCTGGAGGTACCTCAGAAGTATATGTTTGAAGCAGTTCTTCGGTGCAGCTTTTTGCTAAATCTAGCGGAATCGAAGTGAAAAGCGAGACCACATCGAATGACACCATAATCTCGTCACATGTGATGTTGACACCGCTTAATTTGTCTAGAAACTCTTTTGAATCCTGAATGGAGTTCTCGGAGTTCTTCGTTAGTGGATGTAGTTGACGAAATAGCCATTTCGAGATCTTATAGTTGGGTGCACCGATTAGAGAGACTATCGGTCGCAGCGGAATATCAGTTTTATGAATTTTGGGAAGACCATATATCTTGGAAATTGTTGGTTCATCCTGTTTTAAAGACTTGGCAAGAACTCCTGTGATTAATTTCCTGCCCGAAAGGCGTTTCAGTGTTTTTTCAATATGTGAGTTTTGCGATTTGGTGGGGTCGGCAGCTAGAGGTTCGTATGTTGAATCATCTTTTAAGAGTGACATCATTTTGTCTGTGTAGTCTGTTTTGTTCAAAACAGTGGTGGCACCTCCTTTGTCGGCAGGTAGAATGATGATGTCTTCGTCTTGTTTTAGAGCTTTAAGGGCTTTCTTTTCATCATAAGATAGCGTTGAGAACTTTTTTCGGTTCTTCAATGCCAAACTGGGAAATCTGTCTCAACCCGTTTACATGAGCATCAGTTAGCGGTGAAGAGACGCGACCATTTATCCCAGGTGGCCATGCACACACTAGACACTGGGCATAAATTCGCATGGGAGAACACTCGCATTGTTGGCGCCTGCCAATCAAGAAAAGGCCGCGAATTCCTGGAAGCAATGCACTCAGATGAGGCATGCATCAACCGGCATATCGATTTAGATGCCATATACAAAATCGTTAAGGACAGATTCAAACTGAGTCAGCCAATCCCGAGATGACAATCTTAACCAATCATTGACTCCTTTTGCTAGACTCAGGCTAAAAGTTAATTGTTTTTGCACACCCATTGTCTGAAGACGAGCTGGGGAACCAGTCTCGAAAATTCACAATAAAATTTTGCTGTTTCCCAAAGAACTTCATCTTTCTAATTTATATCTATGTGCAAATATTGTCAGTCACATTTCACGTTAGTTGTAGCCTTGGATATTACTTCTTACCAATTGAGATTTAGATAGGCAAATGTGAGGCGACCGGATTTGCATAATGACACGTCGTCTACATTACCAGTCACCAGGCCCTTCCTTCCCCTCTTTCCTGCAGGCTGCCCACAGTCGGACACGTCGGGGCCGGGGCTCAGTGGCTGGTTGTCGGTGCAGGAAGAGTCGCCCGATCACTCAGTAAGTCAGTCCTCTGGACGCATGATGATGATGATGACATTGACCAGTTAGGGCATTTTACATTCCATTGGTCGCTTAATGCTCCCAATAAACATCTTCCCTCTTGCATCGCCCAGGGAGTCCCACGCCTACTGCTGGAGATGGTCGAGGCCCTGCGCAGACGTGGCCTATGCATGGAAGGCATCTACCGAGTGCCAGGCCGAGCCTCAAAGATTCAGGCAATCATGCAGTTGGCCAATTCCGTAAGTCACCTACCTCATTAATCCTATGCATGCAGTGAAACTTCGTGAATATTAAGCTGACTTACCCTTACATAGGTGTGTGTGTGTGTGCTAATATGCAGATTCGCACTTCTTTGCAATTTTAGAATGTGAGCGAGTTGTGTGACCGGCTGGTGTGGGACGAGGACGCTTTTGATGGTCGGGCAATTTCGTCAGCCATCAAGCTCTACTTGGCCACTATGCCTGTCAGTCTTTTGAATCCCCATATGTTTGCCTCGTTTGTGGCGTCGACGGCGATGGGGAGAGCATCGAAGAGAGGTGGCCGTTCTCTGCGGACACCAGTGGGCCTGGCTAGCGCACTATGCCAATTGCGAACAGCCCTCATGAAGACCTTTGGCTGTCCCGGCAATTCGAAATCTGAGGACCGCGAGAGGGGGTGGCGCCTCGCAACGCTGGACTATGTCATGCGCCATTTCAGGGAGGTTGTGGCCCTTCAGGCCACTAACCGCATGTCTCCTCGCGCGCTGGCGCGCGCATTTGACGCTGTTTCGCTGACGTGCACTTTCCCTCTTTCTCGCCCGCGCTAACCCGCAGTGTTATATTACATTTGTTCCGCCCCCTTACCACAGCCGTAATTCACTTTCTTGTTATTGGAATGATTATCCTTGGTCCCGACTTTTGTCATTTTCCTTGTTCTCATGTCCATTCCATTTTACATAATAAACCCTGTTCTTCTAACCTGCACTCGCTCTCTCTACCTCTCATCTGGATTATTTGGGCAAGGTCTGATGTTGGTGCTGTGTCTGTTCATAGTCTGAAGGCAGGAAGTTGATATCAACAGGTGTATTTACATAGGGGGAATTTTGCTTAGTGAGGCTTACGTGACACAGATAGAGACGAGTGTGCGAGTCGATGGTTAGTGCTGTCACGACGACTGACTACAGTAGCCTCTCAAATAAATAAGTGCTTCCAGTAGTTCGATTCTGGCAAGAATGACTCCAGTGGTTTACATTCACCGCAGTCTGTTATTATTACTATCATCATTGCAGCGTCGATTTGCCTATAAATCTCAAATTTGGAAATCCTCTGTTGATTGGAAGCGACTACTTCAGGTGATGCGATTGAAGATCACGGCCTCCAGTAGTTCAGCCACGTATTCGACTGTGAGCAACAGGAAAAACCACATGCGGAGAAGGGAAATATTATAGAAGTGTATCCGAATATATCCTGACGGGGATGGTGGATGTGGTACTTGTACATGCACTCGATACGACTGCCATCATGCCTGATCTAGCTGGCCTCGATGATGCCCCGAACTGTACTTCTCCAAGCGTGATGATCCGAGGTAGCAGGACTGGACAGTTTAACCAGTTCTCTTCGCCAAAGACGGAGACCGAATAAATAAGGTCCAAGTACCACCTCCATGTCTTGACGGAGTGTGTCGAGCTAGATTTTTGAGCTGACCCCCTCTTTGACGCCTCCAATGTGGCAACGGTGCCAGGCTTTACGCGATTAGAGTGGCTGATTTTGACAATAGGTGAGTATTTTTTCGTCCAAACCTGTTTGGTTAGTTGAAGAAAACGTTTTTAGACAGACGTGAGCACATCAACTGGAGAAAAAAGGGAACACTGCAAAAAGAAGTGAGGTGCCTAAAGCGAATGCCATTTGTCTTGTCTGATGCAAAAGCAATGAATAATTTTGGAACTGAATTTAATGCATAGACAACTCGTTCTAATTCTTGACTCAATGAAATATTGCCAATGACTTGGATATAGTTTAAGGAATGGATTACTTCTGAAAGTCTGTGAAGGAAGGAACACTTCCCTCATTTCCATGAACATTCTCATGCAGAATTTGAATAGTGCCAATAATGGTCGTTAAATTTCCTTCAGGATGGAGTCCTTAAAGTTCCTTGTTCGGGAAGCGGTTGCACCGCATATGCTTCAGCAATATGCGGCAGGAATAGTTCCCAAGCTTTTTTTAGCTAAGGCCGTCTAATCCAAATCACTGACAAT